TCACCACTGTGCCCAGCAAGGTCTGGGGAGAGAACAGGGTCTCAGGGAATGTCGGGGAGAGGTGGTCATGCTAATAAGCCAGACTGGAGTTCAAGATGCCTGAATGTCCGGCTTGCCCCCAACTACCAAAATTGGTTGTGCCTCCCTGCGCAGGATAAACTTGCTCTTTTTTATCTGGTATTCCCTCCCGTGCACGGTTCCGTTCTGAACCTGGTCAATGATTGGGAGGAGAAAGAGCTATGGATACTTCAGAGAGAGGAAGGGAGCAAACACACCACACCGATCCCACTTTGGGAACCTCCAGGTCTGAGGCGAGGATGTAGATACACGATGGACCACAGAGTCAAGGACAGGACTACGTACCGGGAAGAAAGCAAGGCAGGGGGGAGCTGAAGGGAACAGGCCTGGGGCAGCCAGCCATCAAGGCTGACTTCCTAGCGGCCGATGTGAGGGACAGATCAGGAAAGAGGTGATCACCGAGGCTCCTCCCCTTGGGAAGTCAGCTCTTTTTTGGGGGTTCCCCCCCCCCGGGTTTTCAGTCCTCTTCACTTTCTCCTTTCCCTGTTCCCCCTCAGAGATAGATGAAGACCGGATCCCCAACCCGCTTCTCAAGGTGAGCTGGTCCCTCACGCTCAGCCCAGCCCAGAGAATTATTAGGGGATTATTCCTCAGCCCTTCCAATCTCTAGGGCCTTCCGACTCCCCCTTCTCTGCGTCCCTCCCAATGAGCGGACACACACGCCATATCCCCCCACACTCAGTCTCTTTGCTCACTGTGGGGATGGGGGGAGGGGTGGCTGGGAAGCAGGAATCTTCTCCCCCACTTTCTGAAGCCCACGCCGACCCCCCAATCTCCAGTCCAAAGCATGGCAAGGCACAGAAGGTGGGTGAGACGGGCCGGCCCCCATCTGTGCCCTGTGTCCTTCACAGTCCACTTTGTCCATGTCTCCACGGCAACGGAAGAAGGTGACGAGGACCACACCCACAATGAAAGGTTAGGAACACCCTTCCCATCCCCTTCTGCCCCGCTGTGCCTGAGGCTGAGCTGTAGACCTGACGACCCCTTTGCAGGGAACCGTTGCGAAGTCTTGAAACCTGCCTCTGTTAGAGTTGAATCGTTTGCTAGACAGTCTGGGCTGGGCTCCAGTTCTGCCTCCCACTAGCTGGGTGGCCTGGCAGAACCTGCTTAACCTACTGAGCCCCGACTACCACCTCACTACGGCAGTTAAATAAAATATGCAGTGCTCACCACACAGAAGGTACTCAAATATTTCTTGAACCTAAACTGAGTCTTTTCTTTTGCCCCAAGTATCCCAGCAAGTTAGGAGGGTCTTTTCTTCCTGAAGGCCCTGCCCCTCGCCTCTCTGACTTTTGAAGGAAGTATGTTTTATTGTTTAGCTTTAGGCCCTCCTTAGTGCCCAGCTCATATCTTTCCCCACCCCACCCCTCCCCCCCCCACCGACCCCCGTTCAGATCTCAGGGGATGGAAATGTCACACCAGCAATGTCTGCCGGCCCTTCAGCGGGGCTGTTGAGACTCTGAGCAGTCATGTCCCTCCCTTTCTGTGCCCCCAGAGCTCCAGATGATGGTTGAACATCACCTGGGGCAACAGCAGCAGGGAGAGGAACCTGAGGGAGCCGCCGAGAGCACAGGGACCCAGGAGTCCTGCCCGCCTGGGATCACAGACACAGAAGCGGAGTTAAGGCTGGGCCCTTCTGGGAAAGCACAAAGTACGTTGAGGCTGGGGAGGGACTGGCCCGGGGGGAGGCAGACCTTACCCGTGATAGGGAGGGGTCTACTAGGAGCCGGAAACTGTCCTGGGAATATGAATATGTCTGGATGTATTCCATGTATTTGCGTCTCCTCACCTTTGCTTACTGAATGACAGCAAACCCTCCCCACCTGGGCTGCAGGGCTCCCTGCTGTATGGAAGGAGGGAGCGAGCCCACCATGGTGGGTCCAGCACGCACAAGCTAGAATCCTCCTCACTTGACCAGCCCGGAGGCCTCCAGCGACTCACTTAACCTCAGTCTGTAAAATGATAACGACGATGCCTATTGCATTGGGTTGTTTGCGAAAATGAAAGGAGACCAGTTCCTAGCCCAGCAGCCGACACATGCAATGAACCGGAAGCTGCTGGTAGTGCTGTTAACACATCTCCACAGTCCCTCATCCCAGGTGGGATTCCAGAATCCAGAGCTTTTCCCATTCTATGAAGGTGACATGGTGTGTGTATATATCTACTGATATTACGTAATACCCTCCAACAGAGCACCCTGTAATCACACACATTAATATTTCTGCAGTGAAACGAATGGTCCTACCAAATGGGATAAAGACTAAAAGGAGTCCCGTATCACCTCAGGTCAGGTTTTGCCCAATTGTACCCAAACTTTTTTGAACTCCCCTTTGAAGCGTTTTTTTATCTTTCAATTTCTGATTGCAAATTTAAAAAGTGAGCCTGTAGTAATCATTGTGATGAGAGAAAACACCGCTGGGCTTGTCCGATTGCCCCCAGCCTGGTCTTGGGCCCCTCTCAGGGGTCACTGGATGTAGTGAGAGGAGCAGCTCCCTCTCCAAGCTTTCATGAATACTGCCTCTCCCTCCCACCACCCTTTTCCCTCCTTAGAGCCTGCAGAATCCATCCCTAAAACTCAGGAGAGGGGCAGTGAGAAACCCAGCACAGGGGAACCCACAACCCATATACCACCATTGGATTCCCAGGGAGCCAACTCGGTAAGAGCCTAGGGCTGGGGCTGCCTGGTCTGCAGGAGAGCAGGCTGTGTCGATGAGGGCAAGGACTAAGATCTGGAATTAGGGGATGGGGGAACAGAGGACCGGCTTCAGTCACTGAAGAGCTATTGTCTGGGACAAGAAGATTTGGGTGTATTACGTATCCGTGGACAGAGAGAAATGGGATTAAGCTGTAAAGGGAGAGCCTCATGTCCAGGCTGGGTGAGCAGTGGTCATGCCTGGAGCGGAGGCATTGATGAAACAGCCTCGTGGGCTGATTTTACGGTCCTCCCTCCCCTGCGCAGGCCGGGCAAGCGGGGCGACTGGCGTCAGACATCAGAGGTTAGATGCTTGAGGATGGGCAGACTAGTAGGGGTGGGGGCAGTAGGACTTCTGGTCTCTCACATGCCCTCTTTCTGCCCCTCCCCCACAACAGGTCTGAGAGTGAAGGAGGTATCCTGGAATCAAGACTGCAGTTGGGATGCATGGACACTGGATTTGTTTCTTATTCTTCACTTTTGGGAAAAATCTCCTGTTTTTAAAAAGTGATAAATTTGGTGTTAGGTGCTTGGCATTTTCCTTCTTTCCCAACTTAGAGAATCCTTTCTCCCTCCCTTCTTGTCCTGCCCCCTCTACAACTCCCTGCTCTTCTGCCCAGCTCCCTCTGGAAAGAAATGGGGAAGCTGGGCAGGAGAAATGGGGAAGCTGGGCAGGAGCCTTGAGAAGGGGTTGGGTGTGGGGGGAGTTCTCCCCCAACCCTGCCCTTACTTGCTCTGGGAAGAGAGATGGGGGTCAGACAGGTGGAAGGACTAACTTCCAGGGCACCAAGAAGGAACAAAGGGCCTGGGTTCTCTTAATTGCAGAAAAGATACCGCCACCTGGCAGGGTTGCCCTGCAGCTGTGAGACTTGGGAGTTGTAAGGCCCTCCAGCTGCGACTGTGCTGTGGCCGCCGCCTGCTGGACAGGAGGCGGAACTGCACCCTGGCTCGCCCATGGGAAAGAGGTGTTGCTTGTGTGGATGCCTTTGCCTGTCCTCCAAACCTTAATGATTCCCACACTTCAGGGTGTGTTCCCTCCTCCAGCCATGAGGAGACCACAGCCCCTGCTCCAACCCGTTAGCAAAGACGCGTGGAGAACACAGTGGCTATTAACAAAGAGGCCTTTGCTGGGACCAGGAAAGATCATCTCTCCCTTGTCCTAGACACTGAGGGGCCAGGGGAAAACACAAAAGCCAGCACAGGCGAAGAAACTTCCACAGTCAGGCCTCTCCTGCTTTTGTCTTTCCAGGGGGGAGAGGGGAAGAGGGAAGGCAAGATTCACCCTTGCTTACTGAAGCAGCACTCTGATGGAGAGAAAAAGAACCTGGGTGTAAGGTCCCACTTCTGCCATTCCTACTATGTGCTCTCAGGCAAGACCCCAGCTTACCCACCTACACATCAGATAGGGAGAACACCACCAGGATTTTCTCGAGCTTAAGGAGTCCGTGTACATGAAGATGTCCAGTGGACTTCTACCCAGTGAACACCAAACACATCCAGGCCTGGTCTCCCTTCTTTATTGATCTCTGGCTATAGCAGGGTTCTGGGAGACCCAGGGCAGGGGTGAGTCACATGCGTCTCTGCCCCACTCGGGGTGGGATAGGAGGGACAAGTGTCAGGGTGGCAGGTCTGAGAGACCATGGATATGGACTTCACACGAACAGGGCCCACTGTACAAATGCATGGTTGGTATTTACAAGAAAGGAGGAGGGCAGTTACCTGGACTTGGACCTTTCCTGGGACAAGGCGGCTCAAGGAGCCTGAGGAGAGGAAGGGGCACAGGGCCTGGCTGGGCTGTCTTCAGGGGACACCCGGCAGCAGCCCTGAGTCCCTCCCATCTGCCTTCCACCCACCACCCTCCACTTGTCCCGGGGGAGGGGCCTCTTGGTGTCTGCAGCTGGGCAGGTGCTGGAAGGGGGAGGGAGGGGAGGGACCCTCTCTGTTAGCAGTGCAGGATTACTGGATTCTACGTCACCCTCCCCATGCACCCTTGACCCCAACCCAGCTGGTCTCTCCTGCCTGTGCTCCTAAGATGCATCCTGAAGGTGCTTTGCTGGGGAGACCTCAAAGCACTTTACAGACATTGGTCGGATGGGAGCCTCCTGGCCCCAGGGGAGGGGAAGGAGGCAAAGGGCTCAGGACAGCCAGGGTAGGTAAGTGATAAGCCCCAAGGGCCTAGACCAATCCCAAGTTCTTGAGGACCCCAGGGAAGGCCTCGTCTTTTCCCCCAGTCGACATTTCAGAATGGGAGGGAAGGAAGATTGGGATGGGGGGGGGGGGGGGGGGGGTGGCTGAGGATGGCGCTGAAGCAGTATAGGTCTGGGGTAAAGAGGATATCCCCCCCTCATTCCCAGGCCCTAGAAAGGTATCATGCCCTGAAGGAGCCCACTCCCCTCTTCACACATAGGGCTCTGAAAAACCCCAGCTTTCTCCTATTCCAGCCCCTCCCAGGGGAGGAAAAGGGGGACCCAGACCCGCCAGCTAAGATCTGGGGGGGGCTGAGGGAACCCCCCAAAATGTATTGCTTAGAAACTTGGAGGCAAAAAGGATGGGGGAGGGCCTGGGGGCTGGCATCTCTGACCCTCCCCTCTGGGCCCTGGGAAGCCTCCAAGAAGCTCCCTTCCCCCAGCCTGCCATCTGGCCACGGAGGGGGTGGGGCAAGTCCAGAGGCAGGGGGATGGGCACAGTGACCATTGGGACCCTAAAGTTCCCCAGTCTTGCTGCTGGGAAATTGAAGTGTGCCCCAATGGGTGTCGGGTGGGGAGGGGCCCTTCCCCCAACCCCACAATCTCTGGCATTTGGCCTTCGGGTGGGTTGTCTGTTCCTCAACCTCCGTGCTCCCTTGGAGCAGATGGGGGAGCCGGTCCCGATGGATGGTGCTGATGACATCGAACACTTTGGACTCACTGAGGACCTGGGAAAGAGGGAGAGGTCTCAGTGCTCAGCTCTTTGCCTTATCTCCAGCCTGACTCACCTTCTCCAGGTCCCCCCACTCAGTCCCATATACAGTTGTGCCCAAACCACCTTGTACAGGGTGCCCAGCCAAGGGTGTGGTGTTGGGGGATGGTTTTCGACCTCACAGAATCTTGTGCCCTGACTGGGCCCTGTTCCCGAACCCTCTCAAAGGTGCTACAGAGGCTGGCTGCTCAGGCCCTCCCTGTTCTGAGGAGCTTCCTCCTTCCTTCCTGCAGGGAGTGGACAGAGGGGGTGGGAAAAATTCCTTGCTTCCCACTCACACCCTGGCTCAGTTCTGTGTCCACTTCCTCCATTTTCCTCCCCGGAAAGAGTGAGGGAGAACTTCACATCCACTGAACCCCAGAGATGACCCTTCTAAGATGCCTTGTCGGACGCCCAGCTCTCCCTACTCCCTACAGAATCTCCAGACCCTCCCCACTCCACCACATAGGCTCACCGGGGCCAGTCCCAGACTAGTCCAGATTCCCGTTCTGGTTGTGTTCATCTTCAGCAGGGGAGGGCAGGGTGTCTTCCTCACAGGGGGACAGTTCGTCAATGGACATCTGGTTGGTGATACCTGCAGGGGACATTTAGGAAGTCAGGACCAGACCAAGAAATATTTTTCCCCAGAACCCAAGAAGTATATAGAGAAAAGTAAAGGATTCTCATGCATCCTTCCGCCTTCAAGATGAACTATACTCAACCCATGCCAACTTAGGGAGAGCCCCTCCAGCCGTGCTAACATTCACAACCCTCAATTCACCCATAAAGGAAGAGGTTTCCCAGCCAAGGCCACCAAGTTACCCAAATCTAACGGGGCGCCATTTGCAGACCACAATATGCATGGAGTCCCTCGGGTTGTGGAATATGGCTGTTCTATCTTCTCTCTTGTCCCCGTTCTAGAATGATCCAGGCCAGTCAGCTCAACAGTCTTTCCTGGGATCTAACTTTAGTCTGATTAGCTCCATCCTCAATTCTGGGAGTCACACAAAGGGACGCTCCAGGGCTTAAGGAAAATGGTCCTGCTACTGCTCCATCAGCCACCCTCCCCACAAGGCCTCATCCCCGCTTCCAACGGTACCCACCACTTGCTGCCCGTTCCTTCCATTTCTGCTTGTTCTCCTGAATGTATTTGGTCCAGGTAGAGCGGAAGCTGACCACATCAGGGTTGGGGTCTCCCACTTCCACATCCAGAGAAGGCTGGCGCCACTGGAAGCTAAAGCAGGCCCCCCAGCTCGAGAGGTGAGACCCGGCCCACTCCAGAGCTGCCTTCACCAGCCCTCAGAGTGGAGGGGAAGGAAGACCAGGAGGAGGCTTAAGGAGACTTATCCTTCTCTCCCTTTCCCTCTGCTAGGTACCCCCAAGTCCCTGGCCCTCTTCACTCAATTTCACCCCTCCCTCTCCACACCTTCCCTCCTACTAGAAGGAAAATAAAAACAAGATTAGCAGAGAGGCAAGAGAGACAGAGCTAATGGAAGAAACAAAAATTGGTGGAGGGGACCACAGGTGCGGGTCACACCCTTCTGGTCTCATCCTTTCACCCCTGTGTGTGACACACATCAGAGACTCCCAAGTTTTGAGTAGCCTGCTTCTCCGCCGGCCCCACCATGGCTGTACCTCCTCCCTGGGCTCTCTGTGAGTCCCTCTTGCCTCCCCCAGAAGCAGGAGACCCGGCTACCCCAGCATCCCTCACCTGGGCTGGTTTTTAGACTTGGAGTCGTCATCCACCAGGGGTTGGACGCTCTTCTCAGCCACATCGGTCAGCACAGAGAAGGTGGGCTCCACGATGAAGTCAATGAAGCCTGCAGGGAAGGGGGAGCAGGATGGAGAGGCCTCACCTGGAGGGCTGGGCAGAGGACGGGGGCCTGTGTGGCTGGCACCCCCTGCTGCATGGAAAATGGGGTAACCCGGGGCTGAGGAGTTCCCAATGGGGGCAGCCTTTGGAATAATGCCTTTCTGACCCTGCCTTTGCACCCCCAGGCCTTTCACCCGGGACCCCGTGCTCTAGCACAGGCTTACTCGATAGCAAGACTGGTTTTGAGGGATGGCAACTTGGAGCAACCCTGGGCCAGGCCGAGAAGGCATCCTCTCCCCTTCCCGGTACTCTCCTCCCTATGGGAAAGGACACTCACCAATCTGGGACTGCGCCACCAGAGTGGACGTGCGATCGCACAGTGGAGAGAAGGGCAGGCCCAGCTCTGCCTCCTTGTCACCCTGGGGAGAAGACAGGGCAGGGAAAGCTGGAGGGGGTGCCTCAGACTACCAGATCCGGGGTGAGGCTGGGGGAGTTTGGGAGTTGTGGGAGAAGAGGAATTTCAGCGCCTCTGGCCTGGAAATGGATGAGACGCAAGGGGAATGCAACTACAGTTAAGCTTCTGGGAAAATGACATCTGATCCCAGGGGTTTGGGATCAAGTCAGAAGTTGCAGGTAGCTGCACGAAGATCTGGAGGTGGAGTGCGAACCTGGAGAACAAAGAGGAGAGAAGGACAGGGGTGGGTGAAGACGCCATGCTACCTGGCGGAAGAATTCTTCCATGAGGGCCTTGGTCCAGCGGCTGTGGACTGACCACTGCTTGGTTGGGTGGCTGATGTCAGCAGCGTGGAGCAGGAGAGACAGGGCCTTGGACTTGTCAATCCTGGTCAGGGCAGGTGGCAAGCAAAGGGAGACCAATCTTTTAGGATAAGGAAACCTGGACCATTCCTAACTTCCCATCACATGCATGTCCTTGGATCCTTGTGGGCAACTTCAACTGGTCCCTGAGATGACACGCATGCGCACGCACACACACAGGTACATACGCGCGCGCGGACACGCTCCTATACGTATAGGAAGCAGCCCGAGCTCTTGGAACCAGAGGCCCTGGGTTCGAATCCCCACTCTACCTACCACTCCCTAGCTGTGAGACACAGAGCAAGTTACTTAAAATCTCCATATTTCACTTTCCTCAAGGCTACCTGGAAATAGTAACAGAGTCCGCCCCACAGGGTAGTTCTGAGAATTAAATGACACACAACATACAGGCATTTAGTAGAGTGTCGGGCACGTGGTAAGTGCTGAGTAGTTATCATCTATAATAACATTAGTAACAATTATTATTATTATTACTGTTATATTATTATTCCCCGACAATGCCACACTGCACGCTGTCCCACGCAGAGACGCCGTACGGGACACACCTTCAGGACACACACACACACAGTCTGTTCTCTCTTAAACGCATTTATAGACTCCCACCCACTTTTAAGCAACATTCAGCAATCACGGCATTTGTTCTGTGCTGTTTTTCTTTAACCTCGAATGATTCTCTCAATAGCCCTATTAGCAGAGGAACTGGCTGTAAGCCGTTGCAGGGAAGCCTGTCACTCTCACACTGCACAGAGAAGAAAGCGAGTCCAGAAAGGTTGCCTGATTTTGCCAACGTTCCAGGGAAAGGCTGTCCTGCAGGGGCTGTAACGTTCATTTCAGACTCCTGGCCCAAAGTGCTCTCCAGGAGACCGACAGCCTGGGCTGTACATAAACCCAGGGCCGTGGACACACACGTGTCACACACACACACACACACACACACACACACACAGGGCCACAGAGACAGACTCAGATACCTGGGACCAGGAGAGTTCCTACATCCAGGTAAAGACCTGGCACCCCAATTGCCCACATACGTGTCCCCATTTCACACAGCCCCCACTCTGGCCGAGTCCCGGTCACACCCCCACCAGATGTCACCTCTCCAGCTGCTGCAAGGCCGTCTTCATGCACTTCACTTGCTGGAAATGGCAGGACATGTCTGTGGCCAACACCATCTCGATGACCAGGGCCCGTAGCTCTCTGGATGGACAGAAGCAGAAAAGCGATCAGCCCCTACAGCACCCAGAGGCAGGAGGGCCAGGAAGGAAGAAGACAGGGTTGGGTGAGGGGTCTCTCCTGTACGGCCACTCCCGCCTTCAGCTCACACAAACTCATCCTTGGTGAGGTTGATGAAAATGTTCATCTCATCATCCTGCATCATTCGGAAGACAGAGCTGATGTGGTGATTCTCCAGCACGGAGCGATCATTGTACAAGATGGCACATTCTGACCTGCAAAGCCAAGGGGTCATCAGGCCCAGCTCCCTATAGGTGGTGACTCCGGTGACCGCCCCCACCCCCACTTGGCCCCTCCTGCCCCTGCCACATCTGCACCCCTCACTTGGTCTGGATGTGGAAGCTGTTGGTCGTGCCTGTGTGCTCATAGTCATGGATGGCTGCAGCAAAGACGATGGCTAAGACCTCGATCTCGGACAGGCAGTGCTGGGAGAAAGGGACAGGATGAGAGGGGTCTGACCCCTGCCCTTCACTGCCCAAAGACCTCCACACCAGGTATACCACTCAGCCCATCCCTTCCATTCTTCGAGGCCAGCTCTTGGGCTAAGACGGCAGGTTTCTCAGCTCCCAGAATGGCGGAATGCCCTCCCTTGCCCCACCATGCAACACTCCCACTGCATCCCAGCACACATCCCCAGCATTGCCCATGAAGTTATGGTCCACCCAGGAATTCTCTAGAATTGAGTGAAGTCCAATATGACTTTGTAAAGACTTTGAGATACCAAAGGCAAGGAACCAAAGAGACAGAAAGGGAAATGGGAGTACAGTCTGGACTTCCCAGTTCTGCAGCCGGAAGACCCTAAACCACGGAAGAATGATCTCCTGGGCACCTACCACCATCCCTGTGCGGAGCAAGAAGCAATGGACTGTCTGGGTAACATCTGCTGCATGGATCTGGTTGTGGTAAGGGTTCTTGTACTTCCCATAGCCTGTCTCCAATGCATCCAAGAAAGTCATCAAAAACACAGTGGGAATCTGCAGTGGGAAGGAGAAAATCGAGGATCTGCAGGAATGGCCCGCAGCCGAGGACTGACATCAGCAATGCCGCCTGTCTACAGGAGGCAGTGGGGCCCAGGGAGAAAGCACGAGCTCAGCAGTCAGGTGAACCTGGGCTCACACCCCACCTCCACCGCCTGCTGGCCCTGTGACCTTGGGTAAGCCACATGCCTCCGATACTTCATTGCAGAATGAAGATAATACCACCTACCTTGAATTTAATGAGATAAGTACAAGGCACTTAGTAAGTGCTCTCTAAAGAGTAGCTGTAATTATTATTATTTCCCTGGGGATTTTTAAGAAAAGAAAACTTCCCTCCTATCTTCCAACCACCCCATCCCATCCCCAATCTGAGACCAAGGAGAGAGGTTCAGGGGAAAAAATAAGATGACCCTTCCAGACACACCCACCCACCCACACACACACATTCAAGCACCCGGAGCCAGAGCTCTGTCCAGCTATTGTGAGTTGTCTCTGTATATGCCCTTGGAGCATGCCTGCCTCCTTCAAAGGCTCAAGGCTCCCAGAGGGCAGGGCTGGTGTCTGCACCAGTCTCCCTGGATCTGCTGAGGCTGTGAGGAGAGCAAGGTTCAAGACTGGGGCAGGCTTCTGTAGAGGTGAGCAATAGTGAGGAGACGTAGAAGATGCACCACTAATCAGTCAGACCCTAACATCTCCCACCCCCACCCCGGAGGGCTGTGCCCCAAATTCAGGGAATTTTAAAGGACCGTTTCCATGACAACTGCCCTTGCTTCTGCGTTGCCATGGTGTCCCTGGAGGGAAGGGAAGGGACGCAGGGGAGGGGCTGGGTGCCCAGGAAGGGAACGTGGAGCCTGACAAGGGCGGCTCCGACTAGAATCTCTGCCCTGAGTGAACACTAAAGCAGGAAGTGCCCCTCTCTCTCTAATTGCCTTGGCGCACAGTGGACTGGGGCTGGGCCAAACCCAACCTGATGCAGTTATTCTCGGGGTCCCTCAAAACCAGTCCTTCCAGGCAAGGAAGCAAAGTTTAGGAGAACCTGGCGTCTGGAGTATGTCTGAGAGCAAGTTTGGAGAAACAGGAGCTGGGAAAAAGCTTAGGAAAAGGAAGACCCTGCTGTTCTCTGGCCTGGAGAAGGCAGGATTGGAAGGAAGAAAATGAGGCTGCAGAAGGACTGGCCTCAGGAAGGCACCGAGGAAAATCTCAACTGAGCATCTCAGGAAAGTTCTGGAAACCTTCTTGAGAGTTGTTGTAAAACGAGGAGTCAAGGGTCAAGGAAAGGCTCACACGCACCAAAGGCGCATAACAGTGAAGCAGAGGCAGAGGACGGTTGAATGATCTTCCAAAGCCCTCCGAGAAAGGCCCCTCCAACTAGACCCCTTTGTCCCCAGCCTGGCCCCCTCAGAACATTCATGTTTTCCTCTGCTCTAACATCTAGGCCCACCCCCACCTAAGCGCTGGCCAAATATTCCCAATGTGACCCTTCAACCCCTTTACCCTCCAACTCCAAGTGTGGTTTTTCCACATGGAAGTGGTTTTTTCCAGCCCCTATTCCCCAAAGACACTCTCCCCTGGCACAGAATCTGGAGAGGACTTTAATCCCATATTCTTTGTGGTCAGCCAAGCTGAAGAACAAACGGAGTTCACACACCCTCCCTCCCCTCAGACAGCCCCACCCAGCCTCGCCAAGAGTTGATCCTCTCCATAAAACTCCCTGGCCAGAGACTAGAGTTGAGGGGGAAGGGAAGGAGTGGCCAGGAAACAAATGGAGAGACTCTAGTCCCAAGGGCACAGGCTGACAGCATCTGGACTCTAGGCCTCGGGTGTCCACAGGCAGGAGGCAGGGTGGCTGACACAGGGAGCTGAACCTCGGGCCAGCCTGGAGAGGACAAGTTATGAGAAAGAAGCAAAGCGGGAGAGAGCAGAACCCTAGGCTGGAAGGTTGCAGACCTAGAATCTTCTCCTCGAAAACAATAAATGAAGTCAGAAGCTCAGGATGGAGCAAGTGAAAGAGAGGCTGCGTGGGTGGGCACAGGGACACTTCCCTGATGGTGAGACTGAGTGAGGGAGCCTGTGGGACCTGCTTGTTGGGAATCTTCTAGAATAGGAGTGATGGGAGCCGAGAACCCTGCCCAGGAAGAGGGGTCCGATGCTGCCCAACCTTAAAGCGGCTGATGAGGTTATGCCGAGTCAGTAACTCAAAAACAATGGTCCTCAGGGCGTGGTCATCTGCTGCCCGGTTCAAGGAGAAGACGTCAAAGCACCAGAGGTCCAGGTTCTGTGGAAACAACAGACTAGGCAGGGAGACTCCCAGGGGAGCTTCCCAGCCTCCGCAAGGGTTACAATTAGACTTCAAGGAGGACTTCCCAATGTTTACAGAGGCTTGGGAAGCAGGAAGACAAAGACGTGGTGAAGCGGGGCCTCCTTCTTCTCAACACATCTCTCAGTACAGAGGGGACAAAAACGTAGGAGTTTGCCTCTGGAGTGGGCAACATGTCGTTTTGAGGAGCATGGGAATGGCAGTTAAAAGCAAAAATCACCCCATGAAGAGTCGGAAAGTCCCAATGAGCATTCCATCCCCCACCCTTCTTCCTCTTTCCCAAAAACCTGGGGGGTCACCTTGAGACAGTTGAGGACCACAGTGGAATAGGTGGGGCCCACAGAGGTATACGTTCTCCGGAACATCCTAAGGGCGAATGATGAAAAGAAGCGCAGGTAAGAAAGTTTGGGAAGTGGGGAGGTCTGGAACAGAACTTGACAGGCTGGCAGCTGCAGCAGACTCCATGTGAGTGCAAGGGGCCACACATTGTGATCCAGTGGGAGCCAAAGGCCCTGAGTCAATCTGAGACAAGGTCACATCGAGCAGAGGAGGCTGGAGACAGACCTCACCCAGGTTCCTAAAATGCCGACCTACCTGGCCCAGTGCTGATCTGCATGAACCATCCTCCTTGTGACCTTTATTGAGACCTGTGATGAGTGGAGGCCCCAATAGTCCCACCTCAGAGAGCCTAACATCGAGCCACCCAGCTCCTGCAGCTCGTCCTCCGTGTCCAAGATTTGCCTGAGGCCCCGGAGGGGAAGTCACAGAACAAAGACAGGGGGTGCCCTACAACCTAGAGCCTTAGCTGGATCCAATCCCCCCCCCCCCCCCCCCCCCCCCCCCCCCCCCCCCCCCCCCCCCCCCCCCCCCCCCCCCACCCCACCGCTCAGCAACTCTCCTCGCTCCCTTCTCTGACCCTCCCTTGCCTTTCTCTCACTACATTTTTTTTTTTTAACGTTTATTTATTTTGAACAGGAGGCAGGTAAGCAAACAGCAGCCTAGGGGCCAGAGGGAGGCAGGAATCAGACGGGCTCTGGGCTCGAGCTGTCAGCACTGTCGACCTGCGAGGGAACAGGGGCTGTGAGCTCCTTGAACTTGTGAGATGTGACCTGACAGAGATCAGGCTTGCAACCCTTGACAAACCCACTCAGGAGTGCTCTCTCACTACATTTTTTAAATGTCTGTCTCTTTCTATCCGATGCCTCCAATAATGAAACAGCTCACTATGTGAGGTAGTGAGCCTCCCAACTCTGCAAAGTGCTCAAGCAGAAAATGGACCGGGTACCGCCTTGTCAGGGAGCCTGGAGACCGGCAGCACTGTCCAACAGAAATAAAATGCAAGCCACACATAAGTAATTTGAAATTGCTTAGTAGCCATATTAAAAAAGTAAGAAGAGGAGTGCCTGGGTGGCTCAGTCGGTTAGGTGCTGGACTTTGGCTCAGGTCACAATCCCCCAGTTCGTCAGTTCAAGCCCCACGTTGGGCTCTGTGCTGGCAGGCAGCTCAGAGCCTGAAGCCTGCTTCGGTTTCTGTGTCTCCCTCTAGGTCTGCCTCTCTCTCTCAAAAATAAATAAACATCAAAAAAAATTAATAAATAAAATAAAATAAAAAAGTAAAAAGAACCAGGTGAAACTCATTTTAATGATAAGGTTTCTTTAACCGAATACATCCAAAATATTAGCATTTCGATGTGAAGTCAACAAGTATATTGAGATATTTTACAATCCTTTTTCTCACTCTTTGAAAACCAGCGTGCATTTTACATATACACACACGGCTCAATTCATACTTGAGCTCAACAGCCACCTGTGACCAGTGGCTCCCATCCTGGGCAGCACAGGTCTAGAGGGATTCCTCCCCCACCCGCCAGGCAAGAAGGTTAGGACTACATGAGCTTCAAGGTCCCTTCCAGCTCGGAAGGTCTTCTCTCCTTGGTACCTGTGTCTGTCTCTACCTCTGTTACTCCCTATCTGTTCCTCTGCTTCTTTACCTCCATGACATCTCTATCTACAGTTCTGCTCTCCCATCCTGCTCCGGCTCTGGCACGTGTCTCTGTCACCAGCTTTCTGTCTTACTCCCAACCCTGGATCACTGTGCCTGTCTGGGATCTTCCTGTGTGTGCAGCTCTCTCACCGTGTCTCGTCTATATAGACGGCCTCCAGGAGAGAAGCTGTGTACTCCAGGTTTTTCTTCAGTTCCTCGATGTTCACTTCCCCATTCTCCAATTGCTTCACCATGTAGCGCAGCCTGTGGGGGGTGGGTACGCAGAGCCCGGTCAGACGCTGCTGCTACCTTGTCGTGGTAACACAACACCCTCTGATGGGGTGCATGTTACAGACCCGGCCTCAGTCTTCCACAGATCATTACTCTTTCTAACAGTAAGTATCATAGCTAGTGTCTCTCATCCCAGGCTATTGCCACTGCCTATATTAAATTTATCTACCCCCAAAGTTTCACCTGGGCTTTTTTCTGGCCCCACCATCCCCACCTATCTCTGACCTCTCAACACCTCCCTTCAGTCACTGTTTCCTGAAAACTCTGGCTCTGACTGCCCCGGACGCAGCACCATTAGGCAGGTACAAGCCCCTGGGGCAATGTTTTGGGGATGATCTGTTTCGTAGCCTGGATAACCAAGAGCTGAGATTGCCAATTTCCCCCAGAAGAGTGAGCTGTGGGGTCAACAGCAAGCAAAAGAGCCCCCGAGATTCTTCCATTATGTCCCTTGGTCATGGCAGGGAGGGGGGTACATGTCCACAACCCCTCCGTCCCTGTCAGGGATGGCGAAGACACAGAACAAAGACCAATCTGAATGCTTTCGCCTGGCCTCACTCCATCCAGGCAGAGCTAATGGATTATGATTCCTGAATCCATCAACCCGGACAAAGCAGGATTAACCCCTGCCTCCCCAATGCTGTGCCAAAGAGAAGCATTGGCAATGTGTGACTGTGCCCATCCCCAACCTCTGCCCCACAGCAGCTTCCCCCAGAGCCAGAGTGGTGGGAGTGAGGTCATGGGTCTCACTTACGGGATGCTTTGCCTGAAGGTACAATCCCTCATCTTTTGCACCCACGAGTGCTGGGGGTCAGTGATTAAGTGGGAGACTTCTTAGAAGTCCAGCGAGTCCAGCCCAGGCAGCCACAAAGCCAACAAAACTCTGACTTTAGATGGTGATTTTAAAGAAAGCAAAGAAACATTCCCCTCACTCTTTCCCCCAGCTCTGCCCTGCCTCGCCTAAAACCAAGGTCGGGGGTGAAATGGTGGCCATGACACTTCCCCACTGAGAGGGGCTTCAGAAACCCAAGGTCACCCTATGAGTCAGGAAGGAGAAAAGAATGAGTCAGGGACCAGAGGCTGAAATTAGCATCAATTCCCAGGGATGCCGGGGAGGGAGAACAATGGTACTCCTGAACAGAAGCGGCTCCAGAATCCTGGGGTCTCAGCAGCTTTGGAAAGGGGGTGCCCGAAATAGCCAGCCACAGGGAGAGTCACAGGCCAACTCTCACCTCAGGAGCCAGCAGTCCTGATGAAGACAGAATGCAAATGGGGCAGAAGGGAAAGGGGGAAAGGGAGGAAGAAAACAGTTGAGGACGATGCGGCAGCTTCCTCAGTGGATGATCTTCAAACCCCACTTCTGACCTTCCTGCTGCATGTGCAAATGGCAGGAAAGAAGCCAGCTTCAGTAAAGCTGCTGCCCCAGCTAGGGCTTCATTAGGGAGGTGGGATAGGGGCTAGTCAACATAAAAGGCTTTCCAGCCAATGAGCTGGGAAGGGGGACTGAGCCAGCCTCTCCCAGACTGCTAACCCAGAGATCGCAGAACAAAGAGGTTCGTTCCTCCTCTGGGCCTTTGGAGCCCAGGCACAAGCCAGGGCTTCCCTTTCCTGGTCAGTCCCTGTGGCCAGGGACCCTCAAATCTGGGGACACACAACCCAAGAAGAAAGAAAAGCCTCTGGTCTCATCTCTCTCCCGGATTCCCGCCCCAGCCCTCATCTTCCACTTTGGTCAGCCGTTTTTAAAACCCAAAACTAAACTCACCAAAGTTCTTCCACTTCCTTTCTCGACCCACCTCTTGAAACATCCCAGCACAGGCTCCCAAAGTGAACAGCCAAGCCCACGCGTGTTCATTTGCATGTATTCGCATAATCGTTAGCAGTGCCGCCAGCTCTACATTTTAAAAAGTGATTTCTCCCACATTATCTCATATTATCTTCACAATGGGCCTAGAGGGAGGGAGGGAGTTGGGAGGAAATCGCTACCCCTATTTCCGAAACCGAGGCTGAGTTCTGGGAGGCAGGAATCCTGGATTCAAATCTATCACCTCTTGGCTCTGACCCCTTGGGCAAGTCACTGACTAATTCTCAATCAGGAGCTATCAAAATGTGGCCTGCAGACCACTGGCATCAGAATCACCTGGGCTACTTGTGAAAAATTGAGATTCTAGGTCCCCCTGCACACCTACTGACCCAGGATTTCTGAGGTCATGGTCCAAGGATCTGCAAACATGTTTAACAAACACCCAGGATGGTTCTCCTGCACACAGAAGTTTGAGAACCTTTCTTTTAGAGCCTCTTTTCCTTCATCTGTAAAACAGTGAAGATAATGATAAACCACCTGTGAAGGGCTGTCAACAAGAGGACTAAATGAAATAATGTGTGCGAAGGGCCTGACACACAATGATGGGTGTCTATAAACGTGATGTGAATCGGAATGAACTGACCAGCATCACGCTGGCCCCACCCCAACCAGCTCACCCACCGTTGCCTTTGAATCCAACAAGCACCTGCCTTCTCCATCCCAAGTCCGGGTGGAGAAGGGTGAGTCTAGTTTGGATGGAGGCTGGTGATTAGGAAGCCCCCTAACAGGGGAAATGGGGCAGTGAACATGGCCATGATCTCTCCTTCATAGTGACAAACCTCTCGTGGGCCACACAATCACCTGATGAGGGAGGTTAAGTGACTGGCCCAAGGTCACACAACTTGTCAATCTCAGTCAGGCGGGCAAGCCCACGACTCACACTACTGGAGCCTAGCTGTGCCCCGCACACCAAAGGTGTTGGGCAGAAGGAGCTCCAGCATGTAACTTGCATGGAGAGAGGCTGGAACCCACTTCATCATGGCTCCTCAGTGCGCCACCAGGAAGTGCTCGTGTCTGTCGGCCCATAGCAGCCTGTAAGCACCTTAGCGACGCTAACAGTGACTTTGCTTATTCTGCTGCTATACCCAGCGCAGCACCCAGTACGTGCTCAGTGAATGTTCGTTCAATAAACAAAAGGGAGAGGGGGCAGAGGAATCAGGTGCGGAGTTATCTGCCAGAGCTCACGATGGAGATCTCTGAGGCAGGGCTTCTGAAACTCTAATGGAGAGCCTGCAGAGAAGAATGAAGTTGTGGCTGGCTTTAACACACCCTTCCCTCCAAGTTCCTCCTGCCTCCCCCTCTAGATCTTGCTCTTTTATAGCTTCTGGTGAAATCTGAACCTGACATGATCCAGACACCAGAAGGAATGGGGAGGGAGGGAGAGAAAGATTAAAGAATACATTTGACAAATGGGGAGTCCAAGAAGGGGACCTGGACTCGGGCAGCTAGAAGGCTCCAGGTGCTGGACGTCACCCTCCTGAAGTCCTCTATCTCTCCCACACCACCCTTCCAGCCTGGCAGTGGCCTCTCTGGTTCTAAAGTCCTTCAGGGCTGCGGAGTTAGGATCTCCCCAGACCTGCCCACAGCCCTCACCTCAGCATTCTGCAGGAAGTCCCACTTCTCCACCTATGGCAGTATCATTCCACCCCCTCTGGTTCGGTCCTCAGAGAGTCCAGGAAAGGGTCCCTTTCCCTGCACAATAGGATGCTCACCCCTGTCCAGTCCTCATCCTGGCCTAAGGAAAACTGGAAGCTTCCCCAGCAATCCTTCCACCTCCACCCCTAGCCGTTTCACCACACCCGCTTCTTTCTCCTTTCCCTTCAGCCCCTGCGCCCCAGGAAAAGTCTCAGACCCTGACCCCTGGGAAGCCCCAGTCTCTCCCAGCTCTAGGCAGCTGAAAGGGAAGGCTCAGGGCAGTAACAATCCCAACACCCCAGAAGAGCTCAGCTTCCCCAGCACTTCATTTCTTTGGATCATCATGGCTGATGATCTGGCCCTTTCCAAAGCCCCCTGTATTACTTCCAGCAACCACACTCCTAAAAAAATCACTGTGAGTGGGCGCTTAGGACAGGACTGCCTCAGGTCAAAGGGCTAGGAGTTGGGAGAAGAATCCTATTTCCCTCTGGGGTTCTTAAGACCAGATGAGGAGATTTCAGAGGAATGTGAGGTCCTAAGGATGCTGGGGTGAGGAGAGAAAGGGGGGAGGCACTGCTAAGTCACCTGCCACCATTAATAGGAAGCAAAAGAAAGGAAGAAGGAAAGAAACAAAGAAAGAAAGAAACAAAGAAAAGGGAGATGGAAATGGAAGGAGAATAAGGTGAAGGGTAAGATAGATGGTGTAAAAGGTGGAGAAGGCCACACACACACACACACACACACACACACACACACACCCCACATATGGGGGCCATCAAGTCTTGATCCCTCCCCCTCCACCAAAGTACTAGTGGTGGACCCACAGCAACCTGTCCTCCTTCTCCTCCTCCTCCCCTCTCCCCTTCTCAGCCCTGGTGCCTACCTGAGGATGGGGACCTGGAGGTGGCTCCTTTGCACAGGAACAGGGTTTGCCATGGGAATCAAAGTGTCCTACTTCAGAGTTATCAAAATGCCGCCCCCAGGGCCCCAGGGCCCCTGAGGGGAATGACTCCCTCTTGGGCCCAACTTCCTCCTCCAGGTCTCGGCAGAACTGAGCGACTGACCAGAGAGAACTTTGGGGAGGGGAACAGGAGGGGCCTGACGGGAGGAAGAAGGGAGTGATGAGACAGAGAAGCAGCCCACAGCAACTGGGTGAGAGGCCACGGGAAAAGTTTCACATCTGAATCAGACCGAAAACAAGAATCTGTTCTCAGAAGAATCCCAGAAAGGACAGAAATAGCACAGTCCAGCCCCTTGTTCTGAGGAGGTGGGGCTCCTCTTTGGGGAGAAGGGGTTAGCAGAAGGCTTAAGGGTACAGGGCCAGGGACCCACCCTGAACCTGTTGTGGAAAGGAAGTCCGCCCGTGGGAGGGGAAGGGACCCTGCAAGGGCCCCCTGGAGGGGCTAAGGCAGATTCAGCTCCCTCCCAGGGTCTTCTCCGGGGCCATTCTTCAAAATGAGCTTTAACCCACCTGAAAGGA